AATGATAAAAGGGTCAATCCACCAGGAAGGTGTAACAACTATAAACATATATGCACCTAGAAACAGAGCACCAAAATGCATAAAGCAAAAATGGACAGAAGTTCGGGGAGAAAGAGATAATTCAACATTATAAGTTGGAGAAGTGGGCCAAGGAGTAACAGGGAAAGCAGGGAAAGAAGGTCTGAGCAAGTGCCAAAAACCACTGGGTACTTTATCCTCGCTTCCTGCCCACCAGATATGGGTACCCACAGTGCCAAGGCCTAGAATCACCCTCCACTGAGCCATGGTGTCCTCAGTTATTCCTTGCTATGGGGGTCAACCTGTGCATTATACAATGGTGAGCCACCTCCCTGGCCTTGACTCACTGAACACCAGTAGCGCTCCCTCCCCAACTGTGACAACTCAAAGTGTTTCTCAACATTGCCAGATGCTTCCTTGGGGACAAAATGGCCCCAGATGCGATTGCCTGGTCCAGTAGTACATCTCAGGCACCCCAGTTGGTGCAGCAGTTCCTGAAGTGAATGTCCAAGTCTCTGTAACCAATACATTTAGGGTAAATGGAAAGATTCCTCCAGAAATTTAACCATTACCTCCATTTGAGTCTCCTTATTGTCTCTCCAGGAAGCTTTTACTACTGAGCAGATTCCCCAGGGGTATAGCATCTCCCCCAGAGGATGGGTGGCTTGAGAAAGATTGAGAACTTGGAGCCTTGAGGAGGAGAGAGACTGGGGGTGGGGGCTGCCTTGGAAGCCTCATGCACAGCTTGGGGTCCTGGATTAGGGGCATCAGGACAGACAACTCCAGGTTGAAGACCTGCCTTGCAGGTGGGGACATAACTGATTCCTTTAGGCAACTTTTGCTCTGAATTTGCCATATGACCCTCAGCAAGGCTGTTGTCCTCTCTGAGCCTCAGTTTCCCCACCTGCAGCTGATAATCATACACCCCCAGGCTCAGTGTCCCTCTAGAGAAGACTCCAGGAGTGGACAGACTGCTTCCTTGGGAATTCTAACAAGAGGAAAAGGAGACCTGGGGGTGGCGGGCTTGTTCAGAAGCACCCTGTCCTGTAGGTTCTGGTGTCGCCCTCATGTCCAACTTTGAACAGCTGCTCCGAGGGGTCTGGAAGCCAGAGACCAACGAGATCCTGCACATGTCTTTGTAAGTATCCCCCTCCACCTCTGCCTCCATCTCTCCTGTATGTCTGGGTGCCTGACCCTGAGTTGGATGCTGCTGATAACTTAGAGAGGCCTCAACCCTTGACTCTGCCTTTCAGGAGCTTTCAGAGGCTATGACTGGGGAAGCTCAAAGCAGAGCCATAGCTCTGCTTGGTGTGGAGGTTGGGGAGGGTAAGCTGCAAGAAGGAGGCAATACCCGATTGGGGTTTTGAAGGGTGAGCAGGAGTTCACTGGCCAAGAAGGAGCCTCCCAACAGAGGCCAGCATCTCTGCCAACTGTCAAATCACAGAAGAGCAGCAATGCTGCTGGGTGTGCAGGGTCAGGGTACAGGGTATGCATGGGGTATGGAGCGTTCATTGGGAGCATATCTGGAGCTAAGTGGACAAGGCCAGACAGCAGCATCCAAGACCCAATGCAGGATCCCATGTTGCATTTAGCTTAATGCTTTTTTCTTTTTTTTTGAGACAGAGTCTTTCTCTGTCGCCCTGGCTTGAGTATACTGGCGTGATCTCGGCTCACTGCAATCTCCACCTCCCAGGTTCAAGAGATTCTCATGCCTTGGCCTCCCGAGTACCTGGGATTACAGGCATGCACCACCATGCCTGGCTAATTTTTGTATTTTGAGTAGAGATGGGG